GTGGACACGCCTCGAAAAACCCGTTGAGATTGTCCAAAACATGTTCACCAACACGCGTCGTTCATTATAAAGAGTTCAAAGATTGAATGGAAACCGGACTGGTGATCGTCTTTCCGAGTTCATAGGCCATACACCCCACCCCGACAACTTCATTCCGACTGAATAGAAAAAAAAAGAACCCGTTTCAAGTGGTACGTAAGAATTTACAAGGTGGTAAAGTATACTCACACCCCTCCACCCCCTCGTTCTACAGATAAGTGATTTGTTCAGAATATCACGAGTAAAACGGCAATCGAGGTAATGAAACCAAAAAATTCTGAATGAATCGTACGCGGAGACAAATTTATGCTTCAATTTTCCCGTGTACATCATTGATTTCCATTTCTCTTCTCACAGAATTTATCGCATCCCTTTTCTTTCCCGGCATAAATATTCGTTCAACTCTGTATTAATAATATGTTAATGAAATATCTTAAAAAAATCAATAACCAGTCCCAAAATTGGTGAAAAATGGTGAAAATGCAAAATCACCACAAGTCTCAGAAAACTTTTTTCCCTAAAAATGCGATAATTCTGGAATTTCCCGACCAAACTCTCACCCCCATGGTAAATTAACGCAAAAAAATAATTTCCCAATACATGCAGCCTAATCAGATGACTCGACAATACCCTGAGATTGCACCAGAGTATACGATTAAACCGGGAGAAGCCACACACTCAACCCTCTCAAAGACTATATCGGTTGGGCGATTTTGTTCATGCAGCTACAGCACCGAAAATCCTTCTCCCCCGAGCTCCATTTCTGTCTTACGAGCTAGTAAATTGATTAGAATTAAAGGGTTGGTAGTGAAGGAGATGGGTGAGGGTGGATGAGTTTAGAGTGGATCCTAGAGTACAACGGTGACCACAGACTCAACGCTGATTGGTCGGAGTCAAGTTTGTGGCAAGATGGCTGCTTCCAGAGGGTTGAATGTACATGTCCCTCTCTACCTCATTCTCCACCCAAGCACTGGTTGGTCTACCCCTCACCTAAGATGTTTCCTCACTGTTCTATATGTGTCAAATAGATGTATGCGCGTGTATGGGCTTCGAAACAATCCCGAGCGTTGCAACCAACCCCTCCCCCTCCCCCTCCTGCCCCGCAAACTTAAAACACCCTCACCTCACCCTCCCAACCACCCCTCGTCACAGTCTCTTCATCCTCTCCTCTAATTCCTCTCCAACAAGTTCTCTATTCTGCGCCTTCACTTCACCTACCTCTTGCCCAACTATACCCACGGCTTTTCTTTATCCTTCACTTCTTCGTACTCCTCTTCTTATTAGTCTTCATTATCCTTTCTACGAGGTAACCGCACAATAGTGCACGTTTTACGTGCACATTTAAGACGTTATAATATTATAAATAATAAGCATCTTCCATTGGTCGAATTCTACAGCTATACCGAGGCGATTCAATACAAATTTTGAGAAAGAAGAGAAATTCTTCAGATTCAGGACGTGAGGGGATTTTTTGTTTTTTGAATGATCATGTCTATTCTATGATTTGTCTGATGAAAATTGAAGGATAATTAACTAATCAATTAATTTAAAAGTCAATTGAAGATATATGGATACCTTCTATAAATAAAATTGTAATTATAAATTATCTCTAGCATTTTTTTGAATGGTCATGTCAATTCTACTATTTGTCTGATGAAAATTAGAGGATAATTAACTAATCAATTAATTTGAAAATCAATTGAAGAAATATGGATACCTTCTATAAATAAAATTGTAATTATAAATGATCTCCAGTATTTTCAAATTTCCAGTAGAAATTTGATCATATAATAAACATAAAATTTTGATTATAAATAAAATTGACCATTCCCCAAAAATCGCAGAAGTCTTTATCCGTCCCGAATAGCACCGATTGTTTTTCAATTTCCGTAAATGTTTATTCCCATGGATTATTTATTTCAACGTCTGCTGATGCTGTACTCTCGTCCCATAAATATGTAGACACTCTTTTTCACCTCAAAACGCCCGGAAAGATGAGTGCACCCAATAATTTTATTTTCAGCGATAAAGCACGCGACAAGGTGGCGGTATGGAGTATAGGGTAAAATGGAGTAGATGAAAAGCGAAAGCGGGAGAGAAAGACAGAGAGAAAGAAGATTCGCTCTTCGCGTATCTTTAGTAAGTAAACACAGCAACTTATGAATTTTAAGCAGCGCCGCATGGAAAAGCATTTCTTCTCCTTTGAAACAACCTCGAGTATATATATGTATGTATATAAGCTGTGTGGTAAGGAGGACAACGCAATTCGACAAAATGAATATACAAAGATTGCATGAGCAACGAAATATGTCATTTTTACATTGGCATTTTTTTACTTAATCAAAAAATAAATACCGAATGTGCAATATAGATCGACTCTGTATATACCAAATATATATGAAGTATTTATTGTTAGAAAATTTATTTTCGTTATTTTTTATCTATTATTCGAGGTAATCATTGGATTTTTATCAAATTCTTTAATGAATTAATCGAAAAATTTTGCATTATGATTATTGTTAATATTACTATTCCCCACTGTAAAGGAAATAATAAAATTTAATGGTCTGCATATTATAAAAAAATCATAAGTTTCAAGAAATTCCGAAAAGTGCACGAGAAATTGCCGATGAAAAAAATCAGTATTGCGTTGTATTTTGAAAAAAAGTGGATAAATAAAGAAAATTGACTAGATATTTGTTAAGGTGTTTTAAATTGTTGATCTACCAGTGAATTTCAGCGCTCCTTTTTACCGAAGGTATTATAATAAGTTATTTTTTAAAATATCAGCGTTATCAAGGAAGATTCTGCGCACAGACCCACACATGTTCCTAATGATTTTACCAGCAAACATTTGGTACATAGTGCCCCCAAAAGTACATGGGTTAGAGACATTAGAGGTGGTAAAGGTTGGATAAAGATACATGGATCTGAAACACGGTTGGTGGGATATAATGTCGGTGTGGAGGGGTTTGGGGGTGAGCATTAAATGGGAATGGGGTAGCAGTCTTGTGGGATTCTTAATGGTGAACAGCCTCGGAAGTAATACGGAGGGCTATTAAATACAGGCATCTTGTCCTCTCCAGGGGCTCACTCTCATTCACTCGCATATATCTTGCGGTTGCAGCTGAGAAAAATCATCCCTCCGATCAAATCTCCACTTTATTACAATTGCAAAACCATCAAAACATTAACCCATCCAAATATCCCCAAAAAATATAACCCAGAACTAATCCCATCCTAATCCTATTTATTAAAACTATACTAAACTGGAAATTGTAATATTAATAATATTGGCAATTTTAGTCTACCGCAATTGCGTAAAATTTCAATTACATCTGTGGTAATTTAATTCTGGAAATTTTAACCCGAGAATCAAAATAAGAATTAAAGAATTGAAATGAAAAAAAAAAACGTAATTATTGCCAATAAATTGCGATTATATTTTGTTGAATGATCTTTTGTGATTCATATTAATATAGTATAAGATATATGAGATGTAAATAGGAAAAAAATTGGGCTTTCGAATCTTGATGGAAAAATAGAGTCCAACCGCATGTTATATTCAACTCTCCGAGTTCCAAACGTTTCGCATGAAATTTCTCGTAAGAAAAATTCGATTTGAAGTCTTTCGGTGAGAGTGGAGAGAGGGAGAAGGGGTGAGTACATAGCTCTAACCTGTGATTGGTGGACCCTGGCCACGCCCTAACATATAAGGGTGTCTTGCTCGCCTCTAGTCACTATCAACCCTTATATGTGGACTCAACCGAGTGGCTTTATGTGTACATGGTTCGTATGTATTTGCGGCCACTGTGCAACTACGATACTCTCCACCAGGAGCGAATAAACAGGGTCTCTACATTTCTTCATTGGAAAATCATATTTTTACGAAATAATTCGAGTGCACCGAGAAATACATTATATTTCATCCACGGATTGATGTTGACAGGAGGGAATATCTTTTCAGACGATATTTCTTCGGGTTGCCTAAGTCTAAAGTAAAAATTAATTTTGCCAAATATTCATGTACTTGAATAATTTGTGTATTGGGTCTTTTAATAGCATAATCACCCCCTTCGAATTATTTCCTGTTAGCTTTCAATTATTACAATTATATTCATCCAAAAAATCATCACTTATCCTTTCAAAAATAATGAACATCACGGAATTATGAGAAGATTAATTGCAATTTATCTGTCAAGAAAATGCGAGATTTTCAAAAAATAACTAATTATTGGATGAATTTATCCAGAAATATAGGGAAAAATAATTATTTTCTAGAATAATATTATTGACATAATTAAAATCCAAACAGCTTAATGCAGAAATTATTCCATCAGAGGAATCCCATTTTTCAAATATCAATAATTCCCTCCCTTAAATGGATATTTGGAAAAAAAAGGAGCTAAATGCGTAAATAATTAGGTATAAAACTTTGGTGATGAATAATTTATGTTCCTGGGTGTCTCAAGTATACAGAACTGCTCTAGTCAAAGAGGGAACTCTTGTTTGAGATTATAATTGCGGAGAGGATTGCATGGATTAATTTCTTACTCATCTCCTCTAAATTCACATAAAAAGTTATCAATGATGAATATTTTCTTCCACCATTTCTGACTCTATCATTTATCAATAATTAACAGACCTCATCCCAATTTCGATATACATAATTCAATTGATGAGAACAATATTATTAATCCCCAATTGTTCAAGTTAAAAAACTTCATTTAAAAATTAATTCTAACAGACTCGAAAAAAATAAAGACTTCTCGTCAGATGAAGTTCTATTCGTATTGGATCGTTGAGATATTCGAAATTTTTTCTTGTTCCCGCGCAACTGAACGTGGCGATTATCGAAGCTAGTGTATCGACTGTATAATAATCGCATTGTTAATTCGACCCAAGCGAGGCCTTTTAAATTTAGTTGTCGTTTGATGGCGCCATTGTCAGTGCTTCGGGCGCTTCAAAACAATCTCGTGTTTAGTGTCGGTTCATTGCAATAATTATTGACTGAAATGATTGAGGAGCACGACGAACGCGAGACAATATGCGATTCTGTGGTATGTAAATGATTTTCCGTTATTCGGGGTGCATTGAAATACCTCCGAGATCCAATTGGTGAGTTCAATCAATGAAAATACAAAATTCTAACCTCATTTTTTGATTTTAGAATTCACTGGTGGAAGGATGTCGCTTGCCGGTACGAATGCACAGCACCGACGACTGGCGTGAGTATTTTGACAAAAAAATCCATTAACTTTCAGACAAATGCGAAACCGAGAATTCAATTTTAACCGTGAATTCAGTGATTGGTTATTGAATTGAGAGGGTTTGCTTCAGCGATGGTCATATCAAATGCCATATTTTTCTGCGAATCAATTGAAAAATCCATTGATAAATAGCACAATCAATCATTTCATAATCAATATATCAGAATATTGATATGAGATTGTGAGAGGCTGCCTGGAAGACTCCAATATTCTCCATCGTTGGAGGTTATGTTACACATGTCACTTGTTGATAAAAATAATCTACACTTCATTTCAAAATACTGGGAATTCGAAATCCCGAATAATAGACCGCTACTATATTTTTTTCTCAATTCTTAAAATGGATTATCCTCATTTGTGGTAAAAAATTACAGCTCTGGCCGAGATAATAAGCCTGAAGGAGATGAGAGGCGCGAAATTCTACTACGTTCATTTTGTCGATTGTGAGTTACCATCAAACAATACCTTATCGAATTATTTAAACAATTGAAGACCACCGGATTTAATTAAAAAAAATTTCAGTCAACAAACGATTGGATGGATGGGTAACAGAGGACTGTCTGGACACTAGAAAGGTCCAGTATCCCAGGAAAGATGGGATAGCCCCAGGTACTGGTGCAGCAACCCCAAAGAAACAGGTGCCAAGTAGGCCACCAAGTCCCACAATAACCAATAGTGAACCAGTGAATGGATCAGCAGCAGTGCAAGCTGCGATACAGCTGCAGCAGAAAAAATTATCACGCAAGAGAAAGGGCACTTTTCTCGAAAATGAAGACTCCCAGGAGGCACCGCCGCCACCACCACCACCACCACCTCCAGTGGCTGGGCAACCAACGACTGGACCGAGACCAACAGGTTCTCTGGTAGCACATCATCACGATGATGTTGTGACAAGAATGAAGAACATCGAGCTAATCGAGTTGGGTAGGCATCGTATAAAGCCCTGGTATTTCAGTCCGTATCCCCAAGAGATGGTGAATCTACCCTGCATCTATATATGTGAATTTTGCCTCAAATACAGAAAGAGTAGAAAATGCTTGGAGCGACATTTAGTTAAATGCAATCTGAGGCATCCACCTGGCAATGAAATATACCGCAAGGGGTCAATCTCATTCTTCGAGATTGATGGAAGGAAGAATAAAAATTATGCTCAGAATCTTTGTCTCCTTGCCAAATTATTTCTCGATCACAAGACACTGTATTACGATACTGATCCATTCTTATTCTACGTTATGACTGATTTTGATTCACGAGGCTTTCACATCGTCGGTTATTTCTCCAAGGAGAAAGAATCAACTGAGGATTACAATGTCGCTTGTATTCTAACACTGCCACCCTATCAGAGAAAGGGATATGGAAAATTGCTCATTGAATTTTCGTATGAGCTATCGAAGTTCGAAGGAAAAACTGGATCACCAGAGAAACCCCTGTCCGATTTGGGACTACTCTCTTACAGGAGTTACTGGGCTCACACGATACTCGATATTTTACTCAATGTCAAGCCACTGGTTGAGAATGAAAAGGCACAGATTACCATTAACGAAATTTGCGAACTCACGTCTATTAAGAAGGAGGATGTTATATCAACGTTGCAGAACTTAAATCTCATTAATTATTACAAGGGCCAGTACATTGTGACTTTGAATAGGTGAGTCAAATTATGTAATTCATTTAATTACTCGTTAGTTCGGGAACTTAGAAAGAACTCCCATCAGTCAGAAAAATTACTGCCAATCGTTATTAGTCATTTCTCAGTGTAAATGATATAAATAATTTTTTCGTCTTTCAGAGATATAATCGAACAGCATTCAGCTGCGATGGAAAAACGTTCCATAAGAATAGACCCAAAGTGTCTCCACTGGACCCCAAAAGACTGGAGTGTCAGAGCCAAGTGGTAAAATAATAGTTGTACAGAACATTAAAAAAAAATGCAAGTGATTGGACAAATAATGAGTGGTGATAATACACGTGAAGATATAGTGAAGAGAGGACTATTTATTCGGTAACCGACTTGATGGTTAACATCAATTTTATATTCAAATCCGGCTAGTCTGGCACTAACTACTATTCCTTGGAAATTGGGTCATTTACGTGAGATCATCTGATTTGTTCGCGCCCGTAACAAAATCATTTTTTCCTTCAATTACACATACCTTGTAAGATTATCGCCGTCATCAATAATTTGTACAAACTAAAGTTTAAAGGATGAATGAACCTGACGATGAAAGATATAGAAGAAATGTAAATAAATGTGATTTTTTAATGAATGCCTTTTCAATATTTTATTTGCATATAATAAAAACCGATTGCCTGTTCGATAAGTTCTTTTCTTCCACTTTATAATTTTGGCATTAAAACTCCTCGTATTATTTCATTAAATGAATTTATCGACTTTTGAGTCTCATGTTTAAAAAATGCAGTTTTATCAAGCACTGAACTGGAGACTTGAAGGAAAAAATAATCTGTTCGGTTTAATATATTTTCATTTTAGCGTATGAATTCAATATTCGCCCTGTACGAGTATATGGACACAATCGTAATAAGAATATTGAAATGACTCACCGGCGTTGGATGAAAACAAGAGCTCTGTTTTCATCAGTCGGGACAGTTACAGCTGTTGTCCTTGATGCGGTGAATTTCCTCGAGCTTTTATCCATGGCGATATCCAAAATCACTCACATATTCACACATTAAATAATGAAAAAATAAATATATCACACACTAAAAACCACAAAAACACCCGCGACTCCTGAACGACACCTTGAACACCATCACGTGAATTTATCAACATTGGCATAAAAGAACCTCTCGAAACCACGTTAGCACTTCTCACTACCTCACATTTAAAATTATACCCAAGTGAAAACTTTCATGGCCATTGTCTCAACACTCTGCACGATAGTCACATTTTAAAAACATTAGGAAATCAAAACACAACGAAATGTTCAAAACTCTCCACAAGTCCATCACGTGTAGACACAAACTTTCGCATAAATGTTCACTAAACTGTTAATATACACGTATATTGCATTGTCCAATCATTGTTTTGTATCATTATCGATTAGTTGATCACTATTTGTATTTACATCGACGTTTTTACTTTGTTTTTCTCCGAAAAGGCGAAGAGTGGCGAACGAGAAACAAAGGATTTCGTTTGAGAATTGAGAATTCACGCCCGAGACGAGTAATTAATCAGTAATTTATAAGCACAATTGTTAATTTAACCGTCAAATAGGTGGTGGATATCACGGTGAACTAATTACTGCGTTTGTTTTCGGTATTTCAATGTTTCTGGGCTTACGCGCGTTTTAAAACACAAAGGGCCTGCGCCATATTGGACTGTTGCGCAGTCTTGCGGCGCGTGGTGTTGTTATCAAAATGGCCGCCGACTTTTGACCGGGAAAGAGTTCTTTGTGTTCGTTGTGTGATTTTTTGTGTGAAACAAGGGAAGAATCATTGAAAAAACGAGAAACAACGTAGCAGTCATGTAAGTGTTATATTTATTCATCATTTTAGAGTAAAATTGGCAATTATTTCGATGAAATACGAGTGCTGGACAGCAAAATCCAACTGCTGTTTTGAATTATCCGGTCTTGTCTGGATTGTCATGTGGTGAATGTTTTTGGAATCACGAGATGACGCACATTGCGAAATTCTAGAATGAATAACTGAAGTTTCAAATGTTTAGTAAAGTAAAAATTATAAAATGATTTGAAGATGCTATTAATTCGGTTTATATATGATCAACACCCCGTTTTCAATTTTTTGAAATAAAGGGATCAATATTATTTGTTCAGTGATAAATTCATTTTATTCAAAGTTCGTTATCTATCTTCAGATGATTTCGAGTTTCATAGACAATCTTTCACACAAAATTTTTACTTATTTTATATCATAACATGATATTCAACTGCAGGAAATCGAATGCGAAAAATAAAATGGTATGCCTGATTTATTCAGGTACACACAACGATAACATCACAGTAGCTTCAGTAATATTTCACTCTTATTCATGATTCGTGACTTTTATATTATCAATACGAAGCTATGGATTCTCTTGAATTTTGTCCTGTTCTTTGCATATTTTCCCGGATGAATGTACAATTAAATGACTATTTCCGTCAATTATTCGAATTAAATGATGACCGTGCTAAAGCGACGACAGTAATGATAGGAATTTGATTTTTGATTAATCAATACCATGAAATATAATTCAACGAATTGTACATCAGCGATTGTCTATCTACCGGAGAAGAATCCATATTACAATAATATTCATATTTCATTTATACACAGAGTCAAGATAACATCGAACCGTTGGTATTATTTTATCATTTTTCCTTAATCATCGTCTCAATTTAGAAATGGAACGCATTATTTTTTCTTGTCTTAACCGAGACACTCTCAGATGGACAAAGTATTAACAACAATAACAACAACAATGATGATGATGATTTGAATTTGATTAAGAGGCCTTTGCTGAAGGGGACACTGAGATTATTTTTCACTGAGAAAAAAAATTCTCGTTTACGCACGACACGATCAATTAATTGCCCTAAAAAATCAGTTGATTGCGAGATTTTTTTTCTCATTGACTAAATATATTGCCTTATATTCTCATATATAATAAAAATATAACGATGGCATGATGGCAATAAATCGATACATTTTCACGGGTTGAAAAGTGGATTCAATGCTCAATGTGACTCGCACATCACAATTATATCATCCACTCTAACGACGCATTGCACATTTATTTCCTTTCATTATCATTGAATAGTTCTCATTAAATAGACATTATTACGTTGACCATTGGTTTGCGGTTTTTTTCCCCAAATCCACAAAGATGTGCGACTTAGCTTTTGGGCCTATAAAATACGCGATATTATTTGAAAAACTTATTAAAAAATCAATACATTTCCGTTATGAATACTGAACACAAGTGTGAAGGGATAGATTGAATTGTAATTGGATAAATGGAGAAAATAATTCAGGGATGAAATTCTCCTGATTAAACCTCAAATATATTTTTTTTAATTTACTCCGATAGTTTCAATGGGTCTTAGAGAATACTATGGTACATCGAACTTCTTCAAATCTTGTTTGCTTGGGCTACACTAATATGTACAGATGTCAATTTTTCAATACAAATAATTTTTTACGAATGATATGTCTGGTATATTTATAGCATAATGAACCTTGAAAAATATACTTCAATTTTGTCGAATTTTTGTATATTTCCAAATGTTTAATAATCATTTTTGTCAATAATCAAACATGAATTGGGTGAAGTTGATCTGCCAAGTTGTACAGCCCTCGCTCATCGATTTTTAAACATTCTATATTAGAATCTCTGTCTTAGAGTATTGGAGATACAAAATCTACGATAGAAAACAGAATAGACATTAAACAACATTTTTTATCCCACACTCAATATCAACACTTGCTTTATTATTTATTTTGGTATATACTCTGAATAGTGTTCTCCTCAATTAATAGCAACATTATTGTTTATTCATTCATATATAATATTTATGATTTTCTCTTCAATTCAGGAAGCCTCGAATTTTGAACCTTATTAGAAATACAGAATCTCTATAATACAGATTGTCATTATCGGCAAATTGTCATTCCTTTTGCAGTTTTTTCTCCAAATGCATGACAGAATCCTAATTATCTGGATGGTAGGGTGATTTACGATTACCGTCTCACAAATATTTTAAAAATATCCTATTTTCCAGCTACAAGGGCTAAATTTCTCCTCCAAAATTAACAACAAATCATGACTCATCTTTATCAATAACGCAATAATAGGTGTTATTACTTCATTTAAAACTGAAGGATCGTGAGTGAATGATTAATAGCTATTAATAAAAACTGATAATTAATCTTCGAATATTCCTAATTTAATAAAATTAAATGAGGGCAGGGGTGAGGGTTTTTCAATTTCCATTTTTGGGAGAAACTTAACCCCGATGGTCGCCTCTGTCCTGATAATTTATTTGCCTTACTTTCTAGTCAATAATTTCTCCATCATTGAGGTACATTGAGCCTTATCAACTCATGTTAAATATTTTTCATCCGACAAAACACCTACAATCACATGATTTACCTTATCAATTGTAATCACCGTGGATAGTGCTGCTATTGTTTGATTATCTCACAACCCTGGCGTGAAACATCACTGACACCATATATACTTCAATACTTAATATTTCACAACAGAACGTTATGAAGGGCCTGGGATTGTGGGTCCTGCCCATAACACAACGTATTTAAAAAAAGCAGTTTGGGGTGGATGGGGAGTAACGTAACAATATGGAATCAAACTGCCAGCAGTAATTAACACGCAACATATTACCTCAAAACACTTCCGTATTTAATCTGTCACCTTTAATTCACACATTCGTAAAATATGACTGAATTATCAGCAGTCATTAATTACTTGTAAAAATAATGCTGAAACACGAGACAAGAAAAATATAAGTATTTCGCAGTTGATTGTTCATCGATGTTCATAATCCGCAGTCGAAACTGTCCTGATTCTGAACTTTTTTCTGATAGTCCTCTAAATATGTATCGACATTTCGATAAATTCCTGAATTCGCTTGAAATACTAATGTCTCTAGGATCCTCTCGTTCTTGATAGCTTTTGATGGCAGAACGATTCTGATCAATTCCTGAGGGGTTATTCGATATAGTTTCAAATCTTTACTCAATCTCTCCATTATACAGTTGAATTCATGTTTAGCGTCGATTTTATTGTTAGCTTTTGTTTTTATTCTGTGTTTGGCCCAGCTCAGCATAGCTTCGAATTTTTTAATCTCAACTACTTCGAGACCACGACACATTATTGTCTGTACCATTGACTCACTCAGAGTTAGAAAGTGGGGGCTCTGGAAGAGTTGATAGGCCCTGGTCTCCACAAATGCCATGATCATATTGACGAGTTCAGAGGCTGACGTATATCTCCAGTAGTAATTCTCAAGAGCGCACAGCATTATGCAGACGATCTCGATTCGGAGGAATTGTTTGGCGTGATGGAAGCAAGCTTGGAGAAGATCGGGCAAGTCGTAGTGTTCAGCTGCGCATATCAATCCTGGTATATTGCTGCAGGTGAGGGGACACGAGCCCGTGTGCAGATAGTCCAGGAGAATTCCGAAGGTTTCCGGATCGAATTCTATGATATCAAACTGAAAAATCACAGGGTTGCATCATTCCTTGATTTCACTCAGAGGAGAATAGATTTTTTACCTCTGTCTGAGCCAATTTTGCTCGATCCACTTTCTGGGCATCTGCACAGACACTCAATCGGGGAACAGCTAGGGAGGCTCCGGGTTTCTCCTTATCTTTTGTGTCTTTATCTGGGGGACAAATTGTCATGTTAATTTAGCCTTAACATCTTTTTTTGGAGGAAAATTTCAAATGATTTTTTGACGGTGAAGTTAAGATGATTATTCTTACTACTGCAATCCTGGGAACTTGTCCAGCGCTTTCTGTCCTCTATCTGGAGAGTGTTGCTGTGTTTTCTGATGCTCCTACCCCATCCAGCAGTGATGGTCCCCAATCTCGAAAAGGCTCGTTTCACCATTGGCGATGACGGCACACTTTTGGGCCTAAACACGTCAGAGCCAGTATCTCACAGAAACGGTAGGGCGGCACTTCAGGATATGGGATACCTCGATGTCTTCAATTTGAAGACAATTTGAGACATTTCATGAGCAGTTTAAGGAAATATCGGGATTTTACTCTTCTGACTATTTGATAAGTCCCAATTACAGTGTTTTAATTCGAATATATAATGTTTTGCTCTATTACTGTCGGTGATTTCACAACATTTAGATGTTAAAGAGAAGAATTATATTTTTTGAAATATATCCACTTTTTGTAAATTTTCAAAACATGCCGTGCTTTTAGGAGGTAGGATATAGAGATGGATGTGCCATAAAATAATGAAATACAACATTGAGATGTCTGATTAATTAGTTGTTATCGATAATCATCAATTTCGTATCTCACCATCATTTCATTCTGAACTTCACAATATCAGTGTTGCCTCTCATGAGTCGAATCGAGTATTATAATTTTTGTTGGATGGTGAATACGAAATAATTGTTTATCAACGTACCTTGGACTCTCGATATCGGGAACTTGTAGGAAGTTGGAGCTCTTCGGTTTTTGCGGACTGAGTAGAGTCGGTACCGGTCTCGCTAATAATTCAGCCACCGGAACTTGGGGACTTCCGAATCCCGTCTGAATGCCATATAACATTTCCTGGAATACTCTGTCAAAAATCGTATTAAATAAATCGTATTAATATTCTGGAGAAACCATAGAAGGCGAACAGCTCACCTGCTTCGAACCCCGAGAATAGCCCTAACACCGATAAATCTGACTTTTTGCTTTTGCTGCCCAGGTACGAGAAAAGCAACGTCAAACAAATTAGCATTGAGCTCGATATTAGCGGCATTATTGAGAAAAACCCTCGTAAAATCTTTGGCCAATTGATCATAATCCTCGAACTGATCTCTGACAGAATCGAGAAGTGGCGAGGATGGTCGCATATGTCCTATTGGCCTCCACGACCCACGTCTGTACGGTTTCGGAATTTGTCCAGTCTCCGCATGATTGGCAAGATTCGCCACAATGTCTTCCAACATCTGGCTCCTCGTTCTCTCCTGCATTCTCGCAAATTTCGGTGCTGAATAACTCGCACGCTCGCCATTAACTATCTTCGTTAGCATCCACTCACGAAACATGGGCCCCTTCTCAAATATACTCTGCTCCCAGAGATATGGTTTGTACGCACCAACTTCATCTCTCGTTACCACTGACACCTCATACCTCGTTACCTTGCGCTTTATCCTGGGACTGACTCTCACGAGAATAAATGTGTGTAAAAAATGTGACTTTATACAAGCTGGACTGAAACTAGTGTTGTCAGCCTCCAGGAATACAACGCAAACAATATCATTACCGATGTGACGCTTTCGCTGCAGCTTCTGGGGATCGTGTTTCTCATAGGGTAGTAATGTCGATACGTGGAACATTATTTCAATGCCACGCCAATTTGTGTATACTGAGTACAGACCAGTGAGGTCATGGACGGTATCGAGGCCGCCTTTGTATTTGTCAAAGCCCTTGAGACGGACCTTATCACCGAGAATTTGTAAAAATTCTTCGAACAACGGTGAACTGTCATTGTTGTCGAGAATCTCCTCCTCGGAATACTGCCCCTCTCGCACGTAAATAACGCCAACCTTCAACTCGGATTTAATAAAGACTTGATCTAATTTGAGAAGTTCCTCCGGTGTATCCGGTAGTTGGCCAAGGGTCATGGGTGGATTTATGTTGACCTCTTTTCCAAGACTTTTCACAACTTCCTCCCGATTGTATCTGTGAAATAAATCCGAGTTAGAGAACGAGTTGCGTGGATCAAATAGTTTGAGTAAGTGGATAAAGTTCTCATCCAGTGAAGTCTTCAGAGCCAGTTCATACCAATGCAATTATTGCTCGCACTCAGTCAATTGTTATCAATAAACAATAACGGATGTGAAAAGTGCCAGTGATAAATGTTGTACTCACCGATCAGCGAAAACGCAGCTGGCTGGTATCAAACCGTGAACAGTATAACTAATTGCTCTGACGAGAATTCTAAACTGATCCCTCCCATTGATGGTCTCCTGCTTCATACTCAGAATTACGGGGCCCAGATCCTCGTCATTAGTGAAGTAATTCCAGTGCTCTGAACCGTAGAAGTACTTCTCGTACGTCTCCTGCTCGACTGACGTCAGTTCAAAGCCCTGATTTTTCTCCCACTGCTCCTCGATAACGGTTTTCTTCCTTGGTACATCGTCATCATCGAGCTCATTCTCCTCGAACAGACAAAAATCTTGTCTCTGACGATTTATCGATGCTCTCTCCAGCAACTCCTGCTGCTCTTGCTCAGGATCAGTGATATCACGATCGCTCTCACTCTCGTCCCAAATAGTATCCGATGTAATCTGTTGCCTTGAACATTCGATCCAGTAGCCAGGTGTGGGTATGAGATTGTGAGGAAACTCCTGGCAAAATTCATCTGAAAATGTCATCAGGGTGTACATTGTATTAACGAACTTTGCCAACATCGATCAATGGAAAGTTCGGCATGGAGGAAAATGATTTATCATGTTATTTTGACGTGTACCAAGATTGAGGAGGTGCCTGGGATATCCTCGGTGGAATATTGCCACCAGCGAGTCACTGTAAGGTAGAACACCAAGCTGTTTTTTTTTACAGGGCTCGGTATTCGAACTTAGAGTGAACCGTCAGAGACTGGTTTACTCTCCTTTGGCCTCCTAGGGCTCACAGATCCACACTGATTTTTACGTTCTCTGTACAACTTTACGCATGTTCTCACCTGAGCAAGCCTGTGGAGGCAACGGAAATATCAGGGTTGTTGACGATTTTCTTCGGGCAACTGCGCAGCCTAAACTTTGGGGCTTGAAGCTGCGCAACTGCTGCATAAAATCGGAACACTCCATCAGCGCCACGTCCGCAAAATGCAGATCGCAAAGTATCTGGTTTTTAAACCTAGACGAGAAAGAAAAGATTTTTACGGGAGGGGCTATTTCATTAAGTAGAAATTACGCAAAATTAAATGTTCAATTGCGAATTCTTTGAAATTTGCTTCATTTTCTTTTACGTCAATTACAATTTTCACTCACTAATTAGTCATGTTAGATCGTAGATTGCAATTTATTAAAATTGTGAAGAACGATAACATAACAAAATGTTGAGGAATCGAATTATATTTAATGTTCAATTTTTTGAAAAATCCAATTCCCCCAAACTGTCAGTTGGAATGAACAATTGTAATGAACGCTTTTAATTGAAATGAAATTCAACTAAAATGATTGGAAATCCAGATGACAATTTGTCTGGAATTTCTAACAGTGTCCATACGTATGTCAGGTATAATCCTCTTATCCATTTGGAGATGGTTTATATCGCATTTAATTGCCCGAGTACTCACCGCCTTGCCCTCTTGTGATTGGGTCCTGTGAGATTGAGGCCACAGCTGTTACATTTCAGGCACTCCTCATGATAGTGGTTGTTGTCGTAGGGCGGTGATGGCTCTGTTTCATTCCCCGATTGTAAATGGCACATCAAAGATAAAAAAATAAATGAGAATGGGCAAGCAGTAACTTCCCCCAACGATTTTCTTAAAAGAGAAACCGAATGAAACCCACGATATTAATCAAATTGTTTTATCCCGCTACCTTGGAGCCTTCATCCCCCACATGGCATTTATTTTCCCCAATCTTTCGTATTTTGCGCATCTCACTGTCGACCCCTCGATCTCGGACTGGCTTTCAGCCACAGGCGAAGAAACGTGCAGGGTGTGGTCCCTCGATCCTATTTTTCTCATTTTTTTTTCTCCACTAGCATGACAATCACTTTCATTGGAATCGAAAAAGTCTTGAATGAGAGATTCCAGCGCGTATCCCCAAGAATTTTCATATGAGGGTGAAATAATCCTTGAGCTAGCCGGCATTAAACCGGAACATTTTAGAATATCGAATTCCATCTCCAATTTAATTACGCATTCTAGTACTTACATACGTTGCATGCTTCATTCGCATCTCATAAAGCCGCAATTTCTATTACAAATTTTCTCCGAAAAAAATCTTATTAAAATGACAAAACGGTTCGAACGAAAGGAAAACCGTTAGGAAAAAATGTTACATGAGGAAAAAAGTTTCCTGCAAAAAACCAAGTGTTAATAATCGAAAACAATAAATTCCCATTATTTTATCTAATTAGAAAATTTTTGAAGCAATGGTTTTCGAACGAGAGTGATCGTCTAGTCTCGTATGGAAATACTCTCTGGTCTTTCAGGTCCATCCGGTTCACTCGTTCAACTACTGACTAAATAATCACAGCTAATGCATAACTTGCTCGAAATTCCGTGAATAATGTCCCCCAAGACTACGTTTTGTTAATAAGTCGGGACTTGGTGAGGAAATAGGTGTTGAATGCGATCCTTATCTAACTCGACTTCAAACCCGACCTTTACTTCCAGAACTTCAGTCTAATGGTTCGTCAGGAAACTCGAGGCTCTTTAGATTTCTCGTGAAGACGTAAACTCTCGTGGTATTCACGCTAAGGATTCCTTTGTCTAGAAATATTCCACAAACGCGTTGCATTTCTGTAGTTAAACAACCGTCATCCCCAGATTAATCGTCACCATAATAGAATGATTTCTCAATTTTTTTCACTATCGCCCAATGGCTCAAATTTTTCACTATCGCCCTCTCAAATTTGTAATAATAAATCTGATCTATCAGCGCAAATACCAAAACCAACAAACGAAAGATTTAATTGACCTACATAAAGCGAAATGGATGAAAAGGCAGTGGTAGAATTATAATGTTTACCTGAAACTGTGAATTCAACATTTCTTGAGAAGAGCTATCAAGTTTATGTGGGCTAGAAAGGACTGATCAAGTCATGAACACGTGGCCTTGATGGTGAGATCGATGATAATGGCATTTCACGAGTCTATACGTCGCTTGTAATCAACACCTAATTACGGGTTCCATCAACACCCGCTAATAGTCATTCGTCGATGACGCACAACATTTTCGTCATCTGGTAATTCACGATTAATTGATCAACACCTTCACTGATGTCTATCAGCTGTATTATTCACCTTGACCATTCCTTAGCACGAGTTTTTCCCTCAAGTTTTCACACGTTAGCCTGCCACAAGTGGTTGCCATCCCCCAACATTGCGCTCATTACTTGGCACGTAGACACACAGACTTATGGATTTCAGTCACGCAAATGCAGTTGTATTATCCATCTCAATGACGCTCATTTCATTGATCATGTAACACTGACAAATATCACTATTTCAAGACACGGATAAATGGAAACGGCGCAAACCTCTACTGTTCAATTATCCAAAAACAGTTAGTACGCGATTAGAAATCCCAGATGATCGATATAAGGACAATCAAGTTGGATTGGTGGTGGTAAACGTGGGGCGTTGGGACAGTGAAAATGAAATCCTTAGGTAGGACACCACCCACCGCGTGGCCTAATGAAAAATCGAAGTTTCCCTATTGCCCGCACTTGTCAATATGAGAGAATTGAGGGAAAAGATTTATTTTCATTCGTCTTAATTACGATTTTCTGCGATTATCTCACAAGATCACTTGATCAGTGAATTTTATCAATTATACAAATCTCCCATTATCAATATTGGAATTATTTTTCAGAATGCAAATTGCTCCCTTCTCCCCTAAACGTCACTGAAAAATAAATAATCCACCGATCAACACCTGTCACAGCGAATATTTTTTAGTCACCGATTTCTTATTCAACACGAATCGCCCACTCACTCCTACCACGTGCATTTGCACTCAACTTTTTTCACCCTCATTCATTAAGTTCGTCTTAATTTCAGTGGAATAATTAGTTGTCGCACTGTTTAATCCGTCAAACTTGTTGTCGGATGGATTTTTTCATCGTCCATCGAGTGTCAACTCGTGGACTCTGTACCATCCCTCGGATCGCGAAGGACATCTCATACACTACCAATGACAACTTCGACTTTGACAGAAAAGTTATAAGTACACACGTTTTGACACTCATCTATCGACTGTTGTGCACCCCCGCGTTGTTTTCAATGAACTAAAGTTATTTCGCGCACGCGTTCATCCCTATCTATTCACGCCTAGGGCCAGTCAAGTATCGGAAACAAGCACCTATGCGCCTGCGAAGACCTTCAGATTTCATCATCCACCCACTACTCAATGGTACTTTACCGGGAAAATTCAAAAGAATGGCTCTTGGCGGTATTTGCACCCATTGAAATCATGATCTGCACCAAAAATTGTTTCATTTCCTTGGTGCGGGGTCAGCGCATCTCAAAATTGCACTCATGGTACTATTCAATGTACTATATTTTAATTCAGCATGAGCCACATGTAGAAGAATTTGACATTGATTTGCTGTACTCACCAGTCTGAGTACTGCTATCGAAAAATGTGCTTGACGTTTCGACTGTCATCGTGGCAAACGTTCCATCGGTTATTTGAGCTGAACTATCGCGACGGCCTCGATATCTTTGTACCTTGCAATACGAAACAATTTACCAGTAAGGTGTAATATGAAAAGAGATGGTATTGAATCGATGGCTTACTGTGTCATCACTTTGAGAGCTCTGTCGCCGGAAATTCCGGCATCTGATCATTTCCTCGGTGGTGCTTTGTCGTCGAAAGCCCCGAGCTATTAGAATTTCCTCGGTTGTTGATTGTCTTCTGATTATTGGAGCATGCTGAAGGCTCCCTGGGCCTCGTGCACATGGGCTTGGATCTCGGGAGGAACATGTCGAGCTGTCTGGAGACCTGGAAGTCATAAAATATGAATTTTATGATTAATACTGTTGGTTCTCAAAGGTATCAGAGTATCAAGTGCTGATCACCTAGTTGGCCTGCCAGCAATAGAGGTAGACTGTCGTCTGAGTCTTGATTGTCTTCTTTGTCTAATAGGACTAATATCGCGTTTATCAGCTGATCTGTCTGGACTCAGATGACTTTTCGAATCACGTCGTCTGGGGTATGAAGCTGAGTCTGGGCTCAAAGAATCTCTTCTTGCTTTACGACCTTCAGTGGAAAATACAAATACACTTGATTGCTATTTATCGATATTGTGTCAAATTTCTAGAGTCTTCATGATTACCTCCATCATCAGGGTCTGGTGATAGAGTCGGTTGACTTCCCCGTCGGCCAGATGGTGAGAGTGATTCGTCGATTGTCGCTGCTTGTCTCGTCAATCTTGATATTTTATTGGGAGATATTTCCTTCACCTTGCCGTAGTAGCACTGTACAGAAATTCAATGAAATACGTGAGATAAAATTTTAGTGATAAATTGGTGGAACTCGGATGAGTGGAATGATAATACACCTGGGTGGTGGAATCCCTTCGTGTTGCTGATAGAGGATGGGGTGCAGAATTATTGAGATTGGGTGAACCCACTGGACTGGAACTTCCTGATGTGGAAGTGCCAGGTAGAGGAAGACTGTTGCCAGCTATTGGGGAAATAGCTGGTGGTGTTACGGAAGACATTACAATTGTCGGAGTATTGACAGCTGGCTCTAATGTCAAAAAGTTTCTTGTCTCGGTTGACGATGATTTCATCTCCTGCTGTGGTCTCGAGTCCAGGGTCAAGTGATTTCTCGGTTCAACTTTTTCCGTGCTTCTTTGGGCCTCCAGGTGATCTCTCACAGCTGCTGATGCCGCACTGTCTGTACTTGAGGCACTAGGTCTCTGATCGCTTCTGTAATACTTTGTTGGAGTGATACAGGCAACATCAACGGATATTTGGGATTGTTGTGACTGTTTGCGTCGGTGGTGACGACATTGGTGTCTTCTCTCGCTACCAGCCACTGAATCTTTTCGAGAGCGCGCACTCTCTCCGGAACCTCTTCTAGAGTATCTAGATTCACCAGATCCTGTGGAGTACAAAAATATTTTGATATTATTCTTTTAAGGGACAATATCGCGGTTTTATAAACTACACTGTGAAAAATAATATCAGTTGGTATTTATTTTTCACCTCGTCTCGGTGTCGGTGATATGACTGTTGGCGGTGGTTGGGCCTGTTCCCGTTTATTCCACAATTTAGCAAAATCATTCTTGAAATCACTGATTGTCGAGTCCCTCCGTGATTTGCTGGATACTTGACTCTTGATACCGCTGTCAACGGAACTCTCCCGACGTTTCTTCAAACTCGTGTGACTCGTGTCTGTTGTTTGTTGTCTTGACCATGGTAGAGACTTAGCAATGTCCGCCAGAGTTTCTCGCCGGCAAAGTTTGTTTCCACTTTTACTCTTGTTTGTTGCACCTCCGCCACCCCATTCCCTAAGAATATCCGCTAGGCTAGATCTTCGCCGTCTTTGATTGATCGGGGGTGATTCTTGGGCCTCATTCGGTGGAGATATTGAGGCACCTATTTGAGCTGCTGAGTCTCTCCTTCCAGTTCCTGAACAAAATCAATTCTGTACCCAAGTGGTCACTCAGAGAAACTCAATCTGTTTTTTGTCTGGTGTATCTTATGGAGAAAGTACTCGAGAAAACAACAGGTTGAGTGTCAAGTACTATATTTTATGGAGATCTTACCTAGCCGTTGCTTGAGCGTCGACTCCTCGACCTGTTCTCTGACAAGATCATCCCATCCATTGCCACCCTGCCAAACCAAGCCGACTTGATGGCTCAGAATTGGCAGATTGCACACGAAGCAAATGGCTGTCATGGTCCTGTAATGGCGGACAAACAAACATTCTCATCGCAATCTCCACGAGAATCTGTCTCGAAGGCACTCAAACTTTTGTAGAATTCGATAAATAGAATCATTAATTTTTGTATGAAAAATGGATAGGTAAAAATTGGAAAGAGCGGGTAACAATTCGGTTTCAATCATTAAGCCATGCCGGGAAAGTATCAGATGTAAGCAAGAGTCAACAAGTATTTTACACAGAAGAGATCCACTAAAAGATTATAGAATATTCTACATTGCAAGGCTCGTATTCTAACAGTAGGATTTTCATAAATAGGCTCATATCGAAAATGTGAAAACGGCAGGCGAATTATTATTTCCGCAATGCATCGCGAGAATCGATGAGCGTCATTCGAAAGCATTAGGCAGATAACTCTGAAATTAGTAATGAACTAGAATAAAGAAGAGGATATCATTTTCAATTTAGCACAAATAACTTTTGTCAAAACAATATTCTGTTTTGATACTCATACATGTGTGATTTTCATCAGATCGTTATGATGTTTTAACGGTTGAAATTACTCGTAATCTTTGAAGATCACTCATGTATAGTACTTGTTACCAATCATCGAGTCATCATTCGATACCTACCCGGAGAGAAAAGTGCAATAAAAATGATAAAATAAACTTTAATATTCCGTTCTGAAAACAAAATTGTACGAATCACCACGTAAATTTTACGATTTGTCCTATAAAAATTTAATGGAAGGATACGTAAAAATTATTCACCACCTTCATAAAAATTTAACGATCAATTTTTTCTATGTTAAAATTGTACTAACGTGAGAAGTATCTGCAAACTTTGACTTCCCGTGAAAATAATGTGACAATTTCATTTGTTTACATTTAAAAAATAATTCTTTTGTTCAAACATATGAAAATTGTGGGAAAAGGATTTCCCATCGCGAATTACGTGGGTTGTTCCGTGATTTTGACTGAATATTTCTCTCCGGGTATTTCCCATTTCCGGAATTGTTTAACGATTTTCCATAAAAAACCGTTGCAATTCAGAATATATGGTACGAGCATCGGCAGATTGGAAAATTGGTCTCTCATTTATTCCAAATGATTTTCCAAACATTATTCGACCTGTAGTGTCGAAGTCGGGGGCTCTGCAACGACATCGCATGGCAAAGGGCTGGCCGACCTGCAAAAGAATTATTTTCTTTTTTCACTGATATTTTCCATATCCAATCACATCGTAACATTATTCCCCCAAAAATCCAGCCCTGTATCTTCTTCATTATCAACTTTACAAGTTTACAATGCGTTAAAAAAAAAATTAAAAAATCACTCCAATCAGTCTTGATCTCCCAATTAAACAATCAATCACAATCGGGAGTCGAACCCGAGTCCGACCCAAAGTTCACGATCAGTTCGTTCATTCCTGCGCGCCTTTGGTAAATTCCTTACTGTCTGCGAATAATTATTAGGTACATAGGATAATTTACCGACTGTGCGGTCAATATTGGGACCGCTGGTAATGTAGAGTGCAGTGTTATTGTAAAATTTTGCCAGTCAACAGACTTATTACTCGACAATTGGTTTTGTCAACCGACGAAACAACATATCGACCCACCAAAATTCGGTGATGCAATTCCCTCCCCCTGTAATTTGCACTGTATGTATGGTTTACGGTACATCTATCGTCTGCATTCATCGGTCTCTTTCAATGCCACAATTGTTTACGGAAAATCCACTGTAAAATTGCTGCAATCGGATTAACTCGGGGGTTCGTATCTGTTGCCTTTATCGCATTAGTCGTCCCAGTATTGAATAAATAAACTTTGTGTAATTTTGAAATTTCTCTCATATTGCATCACCATTATACCCTAGATTATGATGAAGTTACGGGGAATCACATTAGGGCAACCACTAATTGATATTTGACGCAGCCTCGCAAAGGAAAATGTTATTGATCAGGAATTATGAATTTCGATTCCCGGAATACACGGGAAATTATCATAATTATTAAATAATTTTCTTCTGCTCTGCTTTTTATTCAACTGTTTCAATAACTCAGGGCAGTATTGTAAATGTAATGAGTTGTACGGATCGTTATTTCCAAAATAGTAGAGCTATCAGTTATGATCAGTTCTATTAGTGAGGATGATTATTCGGAAGCAGAAAAATAATCCATTTTCTCAGTTCCTGAACATTTCTTCATTCGACGACTCGCGCGAAATTTAGTTGTACTACTTTGAAGTAGTTCTACCATACGCTTAGGCGAACGGATTTTATCTATTTTCAATTTTTCAATTAATTGACGTAAGATAAAAATTCTGATAAATTCGGAGGCAATCGGTATTACCTAATTTGAGTTTAGATATTTTTTGCATATTGTTTTTTAAGAAAATAAATCACAGAATATTGCAATTCTAAATCCAAAATGACGGTTTAAGTGCAATCGAGTCTTCGCCATTTTTTCTAGGGCAATTTTCCAGGAGCTGAGCTACTTTAAATGTTAATGGCTAATTTAGAAATAACTTTTCCCGTCCCAGGAATATAACTGGATCATTAAGGCTTTGTAGCTGATGGTAATTTTTAACGCGCAACAGCATGAAGTAGCTGTTACTTTTCTAACGACATCGACCTAAACGACGACTGTTAACGGATAATAGAGTCGACGGTAAAGGTGTAATAAGTTGATATTATAAACCGCAAGCTCTGCAGCTACACTTAAAAATTCCCTGAAATCTCCACCGCGAAGTCATCAAAATTTGCACTTAATTAAATTTGAATTGAAGATCAATAAACACCGTCACTAAATTTTCCATTTATTTTGAAAATTGGTGAATATTGATTTTTCCATGGTAAATAACTCTTAATATTCCACAAGAGCTTGAATTTTCAGGCTCGTCATGAAAACTCAACATCACATACAATTAAATTTCGGACAAACTGTAAATTCAGGAAAATTATTGCCTGCATTTCCTAAATTGTCCGGTTTTTATGCACCTGAAAATAGAGAATCACCGGAATATTTTAAATCTTTTAAACTTGAAATGCCAAGTGCAATTATCTAACAGTGTATGATGAAGATCATTGAGATGATTCTCATCTTATCCGAATAAACAGGTGAAACTTGATAAGAGTTTGGTAGGATCTGGTAGCACCACACAGTAAGTTTGTTGTAGACACATGAGGATCATGTATGACTTTACAAGCAAGCCAGCCCAGTCTAGTGCAACAAGTTGGAAAGATCAATATTCCTGGAAACTACCCTGGCTCTCGTCGTGATTGAAATACACGCTGCGAGCATGCAGAGAGATTTCTCCTTCATAATGCAAATGGTTTTTTTTTGGCGAATGAATTCCACTGGGAAGGGCCTTTCCCATCTATGTAAACGTATTTTACGTGTCGTGTATATCTCATGATGAATCTTTGATATATAGCATGACTTTCCGGGAATACGAGCTGTGTAAAGAGCGGAAAATAAGAGAATATTGTGGATCAGGCTAAAAAATCCGTCTCAAGATATTTTACAGCAATTTTGAGGTAAATCTTGATGTAGATTGCACGCTGTTCTATCAATTGAGAGTTTATCTTAAATTCCGGGCTAACATTATTATCCGGTAAACTTCTAAGAGCTGTAATCCCTCGAAAACCAAGTGACCGCATGTTTCTCTACGGCAAGTTGTGGTAACTGAGTTCAAGTCTCGAGACTTGGCAATTGTTTTCCGGAGTTTTGGAATCTTCCAATTTTAAGACTGTCGCATAGAGGAAAAAATGTATTACTGTCCAGAATATGATATTTCAGAGGATCTATTCCATTTCGAGTTGGAGAATAATTATGAGATTATTATTCAACAAGTCGAATTGAATATGAAATTATTCATAATTCATTAAACTGAGAATATCTGGAATGGTGAAAATGTGGAGAATAATGAAGGGCCTTTCAGCGAGGTCATGTACTGCCTGATAATTTAATTGTTTAAGATAAAACAATTATGCCCGTTCTATTATCTCAACAGTTTATTATTTTCCTTATATTGTTGGATGGATTCATCTAATGATTATTCATTTTCGATAAATTCCTTGGTGGTAATTATGACCTTCGGTAATAATTACCATAAAAAAATGCAATTATGACCTTTGGTAATAATTACCATAAAAAATACAATTGTTGTATAATAAGAAAGTGATTCTCTGGGAGAAAAATGCGATTAAAAGACTGAATAATTGTGAGAAATAATTTTTGTTTCTCAGTGTAATTTTTAACTCTGGACTTGGACCCTGGAGATTCTTCCAGAAAGATATTTTCGTCTCAGGTAAAGTAACCTTATCGCCTTAGGAAATTCTCTTGATTAACGTGTACGGAAATTTCATTACCACCAGTTTGTCTATCACTTCAATCTCCCTCACCCAATCTTTTTCCAGCTGTACATCAATCTCCTAGCAGGACACCGATGAGTGTTCCAGTGAGAGAAACTTTATGGATTATTTTACCCGACATTTTCCCTATTCACTTTTATTTGCCTCCTATCTTGCTATTTCTTTCCCATTTTTCCAATGTTTATTCGTGGAAACGAGATGATTTCAATAAAATACCGATATTTTGGAATTTCTCTGGTGACAGTCTCAAATTTTTCTATTCTCTTCCAGAAAATGGTTTAACACTTCTGCAACTACCCATAAAAAAAAATCGAAGAGATAAAGAGAGAGAGAGATGATATCGAAACTATTCTCGAAAGTTTAATTACTGGAAAAGGAATTTCCGTATTGAAATAAATTCCGAGATTTAGCGGAATCGTTCGAATGAAGTGCTACCTCGAGTGCAATCTCAAATAAAGCTGTAAATTGATATTGCACTGAAATGGAACTATTTACAAGATCGAGATTAGCATTCGGCAAATGCGCCCAAGTGGATTAGCGAGGGATTGATTTTAACCGTCTGAATTTGTTGGATATTCAAAGTACTCTATTTCTGCGCTGAAATATTCGATAAATCGCGGGAAAATTTGTGCTGCATCATT